ATGCCTCTTACGCTCTTCACCTGTCCAATTCAGTTCAATGGCAATTAGTTTGGCATCACTTTGCAGAAGGACACTAATCCTGATTATGAGAACAGATAAGACCAGTAATAAATATAACCTGAGGCTGAAAATGACCTCTCTCTCTCTCTCTTTATTGGTGAAAGCTGAAGTTGGTGAAATGTGACATGAATTGGCTCATGAGATGAGGCAGCTACCTCAAGTGATGGACTGGAGGGTTGCCATTTGATTCTTCCTCTGTTTCCACAGTTTTCCTCCTCTCATCATGCTGATAACACACAGGTGTGGGGAGGAATCAAGGGCAGAGGTGCCTTAACAGGCAAGGCAAGATTTGGGCCATCATTATAATTTATAACATAGCAGGGCGAGAGGCAGGCAGGCATGATATCTGGGACACAATCTGCCAGCAAAAATGGAAATTTGCTGCCAAACAGCAACTGAGCTAAGTTAAAGGCACTGCTTCAGTTTAGGATCTGGATACACCAATCGAGCACTGCACTCTGCAAGTGAGGGCCTCCTGTAGATGCCATCACCCCCCTGGCCGAGGAAGGGGCGTGCGGGGGGAGTGCACCGCCCCTGGCAGTGCGATCCCAGCAGGGTGCCATTGTGGCTGCACCCCCACCCGCACTGGGCGCCACGCCCCTACGGGCAGCACACCACACCTCCGGGACACGCATCACGTCCCTACAGGCGGCACGCTCCATCTCCTGGGGCTGGAGCATGAAGCTCTGCCACTGCATCACCCCAGGATGTCCCTTATGCACAATATAGGAATCAGGCCTTTAGTGTTGTGCTGCCTGCCTTTGGAACACCCTGCCCTTGGGTGTTAGATATGCTCCATCTCTGCTGTCTTTTCGGCAACCACTGAAGACCTTTTGAAGAGCCTTTTAAGTGGAGATCTTTCACAGTCTCATGTGTACTGGAATTCTTTTTAGCATGCTTTTATTGTCTTATCGCTTCCTGATTGCCATCCTGGGCCCCTTTTATTAAATATAAATTTAAATAAATAAATAAATAAATAAATAAAGCTATCTAATCATCTCTTCCCTGTCTCTTCTTCTGGCTACAAGTATAAGCTGACCCCATCCACCTTTTCCTTGCTGGCCCTGATTTCAAGGCCACACAATATCTTTGTCCCCTTCCTCTCGGGACATGCTCCAGTGTGGTCAATACCCTACTTAAAACATGGAGTCCAGGTCCTGAATAATTTAAACCCAACAGTACAACTTAAGCAAATGTTATTTGGTCAGATGCCATCAGATTTGATTTATGAGGCAGACACCTGAGCTCATGGATCAGTCTAAGCTTTGCTTGCATGAAGACTCTCTGTGCCAAGACCCATATGCCAGAGGATGACGCAGGAAGCCCCTTCAGTCTCTAGTGATCTTGGGGTGCCGAAACCCCAAGTTCTTTTAGGGGAAGAGTCAGTCAATAACCAAAACTTCAAGAGAAAGAATAGAAAGGAAAGGAAGGGAGCAGATAAAAGAAAGGACTGCTTCACACAGTGCATCGTTAAACCATGGAAATTGCTTTTCTGCAGAAGGCAGAGATGGCCACCAACTTGGATGGCTTTAAAAGAAAATTGGACAAATTCATGGAGTTTTAGTAGAAAGCTACCAGTAGCTACTAGCCACAGTGGCTATGCTCTGTCTCCACAGCTGGCGGCAGCAATGCGCCTGAATACCAGTTGCTGGAAATAACAGGAGGGAAGTTCTGTTATTGTGCTCAAATCCTGTTAGCTGGTTTCCCACAGGCAACTATTCAGTCACCGTGAGAACAAGATGCTGGAGTAGACGGGCCCAGTCCAGCAGGCTTGTCTTATATTCTTAAAGCTTACTCTCCCACCCCCAGTCCAACTGAATGACTATTTTGCAATTTGTCTTGCGATTCACATCTTTAGAAACTTTCCAACTGATCCAGGTTTCTCATTTTGCTCTTAAACAGCACAAAGCCTGATCAGCTGGAATGTTGCTAAAGATCTCACGAACCCCTCAGCTGCTTAGGCATTGCCTAGGGAGGGCTTATTCCAATCAACTGAAGCCATGGTTCTCAAAGCGAACAGGGACTAGGGAGGGCTAGATGGCTTTAAAAGAGGTTTAGACAAATTCACGGAGGAGAGGCCTGACAGTTATGTTCTTCCTCCACAGTTGGAGGCAGCAATGCTTCTGAATGCCAGTGGCTAGAAACTGCAGTAGGCAAGAGTACTGCTGTGCTCAGATCCTGCTTTTGGGCTTCCCATTGGGGATATCTGGTGGGCCATTGCGAGAACAGGATGCTGGCCTAGATGGGCCACTGGCCTGATCCAGCAGACTCTTCTTGTGTTCTTATATTAAGGGAGGTACTGAAAACTTATTGTAGGGAGTTTTTTCCTCTCTTTTGCTGAGTTTGTTGGGGAGGGGAGGGGATGTATTGTCAAAAAGAAAGGGAATAGGAAGAATGGATTTTGTGTGTGGACCTTTGGGAAAGCAGGACGGTCATGCCCCATCGATATTTGCAAAGCCAGACCAAAGTAGGCACCTTCTAATTCAATTTTAAAATCTTGATAGAGAGCCACCTGTTCCCATTTAAAATTAATTGTCATTTTTTCATGTACTCAAAATGAAATGAAGACTTTCCCCGTCAGCTCTGCTTTATTCTGGGGCCTTCACTGCTCAGCCTACATGCTTCTGCCATATGTGGCTTGTTCCATTGCTGATGTAAGGACCAGCTGCTCTGAGAAGGGAAACATCCTCCGCGCAAAGCAGAGACATCTGCCAAGTGGGAAGAGGAGCATCACTAGATGGGCTTTAAGGATTTCAAAAACATCAAAACACGTCTTGATGTCCCTCTGCCAGTCCTCAGAGTGGCAGGTGGTTGGGTGGGAGGCAGGTTGGAAACAGAGCCTAAAGTTGCATGGAATAATCTCCAGTTTCATTTTGGGGTTACCAATTGCAATTTCAGAGGAGCAGAAATATTTATTGACAAGAAGGAAAGGGGAAAAAACAATTCACATGAACTCATGCAATACTAGGCTGCATCAACAGAAGTCTCCAAATCAAGGGGTGGAATAAGACTGCTGTATTCTGCCTTGGTCAGGCCCCACCTGGAGTCCTGTGTCCATCTCTGGGCACATTAGTTTAAGAAGGATATTGACAAGCTGGAACATGTGCAGAGGAAGGTGACCAAGATGATGAAGGGTCCAGAAACCAAGCCTTAGAAGGAATGGTTACAGGAGCTGGGTATATTTAGCCTGAAGAACAGGAAACTGAGAGGAGCCATGAGGGCAATCTTCAAATATATGGAGGTCCATCCCATGGAAGACGGAACAAGCTTGTTTTCTCCCGTTCTGGAGGGTAGGACCCCAAACTAATGGATTCAAATGTGAAGAAAGGGGATTCTGACTAAAACTTAGGAATACAGTGGACACTTGGGTTGTGAACGTGATCCATGAGGGATGCACGTTCACAACCCGCAGTGTCCACAACCCGCAGTGGCACGTCTGCACATGCATGGGTTGCGATTCGGCGTTTCTGCACAGGCGCAAAGCACGATTTAGCGCTTCTGCGCATGCATGACCACCAAAACCCGGAAGTAATCCGTTCTGGTACTTCTGGGTTTTGGCGGTCCGCAACCTGAAAAACGCAACCTGAAGCGTCTGTAACCCGAGGTATGACTGTAGCTTTCTGGGGGTGAGAGCCATTTGACAGTGGAATGAACTCCCTCGGGAGGTGGTGGACTCTCGTTCACTGGGGGGTTTCAACCAGAGGTTGGATGGCCTTCTGTCAGGGATCCTTTAGCTGTGATTCCTGCATTGGAGGGGGTTGGACTAGATGATGCTAGAATTCATTCTCTCAGGCTTTAGGGCTGCAGAGAAAAGTCTTTCTCAGCCATCAAATACCTGGGTAAAGAAGAACATTTAAAAATCCCCCCTGAAAGTCATGTTGGAGACAGGCACACCTCACCAGGGAAGCCATGCCACAAGTGAGGAATTTGCACTGAAAAGGCCCTGACAGGGGTTAAAGCCAGCTGGTTAGCACCCCAGCGGTCTCACCACCAACAATGTCATGTCTGTCAATCATTGGATATTATTGTTACAATTCTTCAATTCAGGCTTGTGTGTGCACGATACAATTTTTATTGAATTGTGTTTTGTTTTGTTATGTTTTATCATATATATATATTATAAAGAACTTTTGAGACTTCCTTTTTTTTACGTGTATTGCAATATGCAATAAATCAACTCAAAATCAAAGCCCTGTACACATGCGAATCACACACAGAGATACAAGAAGGGGAAGATTTGGTTCTGCAGAAGTATTAATGTAAGCATCTAAAGACAAGGTGAGCATAAGCCATTCGTGTGATGCAGCAGGTACTAAAGCTAATTCAATCTTAAGGCTCTATTAACACAAGTGTCGTGTCCAGATCAAGAGAAGCCATAGTTTCCTTCATATTCGGTGCTGGTCAGATTAGTCCTTGAGCTCTGCATCCAGGTGTGGGCACCACTCTTTTGACAAAGAATTGACATAGGAGCCTGTCCAGAGAGAATGCATAAACCATGATGTTTATGCAAAGGCTTTATTAAAGGGAAATCAATGGGCATCAAGAACCCAAAAGGGAGGTGCTGGGCTCAGTGGTGGAGCAGAACACCCCAGGTTCAATCCTCAACTGCCTCTCCAGGTAAGACTGGGAGAGATTCCTTGCCTGAAACCTGAAGAATCCCTGTCAGGCAGTGCAAGAAATCCTGAGCTATGTGGATCCAGGGCAGTAGAAGTCAATTGCCTATGATGATTTATTTACACATTTAATCATGAAATATTTATATACCACTATATCACAAAAATAATATATATCAAAACAGTTTACAATAGTAAAACTAAGACATAACAATACAATAAAAGCTTAACAAGCTAAAAACAAAAATGCTAAAAAAAAATATTTTATATATTGTAAATAACTCTTCATTCCTTTATTCGGAATTATGAATATAGCCCTTTTTTTCAGGTGAGAGCTGTAGCTCAATGGTAGAGCATCTACTTTGCATGCAAAAGATCCTGGGTTCAGTCCCCCAGTGGCATCTCCAGGTGGAGCTGGAAATGTCCCCTGTATGAAACCCTGGAGAGATGCTGCCAGTCAGTGTTGGCAGTACTGAAAGAGATGGACCGACAGGCCAACTCAAAACAAGGCAGCATACACACACACACACACACACACACACACACACACACACACACATTGCCTATACAATTTTCTTTATTTATACTCCATCTTTTTCCCCAGACAGGGACTCAAGGTGGCTTACAGCTAAAATAAGAACAGCTAAAAACATGGTGGGGGGGCCATTAAAAATCAATTAAACATTAAGAAAATTAAAGCTATATCTATATACACAGAGAAAGAGAAATAGCTATAGCTAAAGAAATATAGAGAGACGATATATTTTTTAAAAATACAGACCATCCCAATAAAAACAGCACAGACCATCCACCTCATTAAATGCAGTCAGTTCCCAAAAGTCTGTTGGAACAAGAAGGTCTTTGCCTACCGGCAAAAATAAAACCAGCAATAAAGGGAGCCAGCCTGGCTTCTCCGGGGAGGGCGTTCCAGAGTCTGGGAACAGCTTGTTTATTTAGAATCATAAGGACTGGGATCTTAGTTTTGAGGGAGAACCATAACTAAATGGCAGAGCACCCCTTTTGCATGCAGAAGGTTCCATGTTCAATCCCCAATGACAGCGCCAGGTAGGGCTGGGAGAAATTCCCTGCCTGAAACCCTGGACAGCCACTCCCAGTCAGTGTAGACAACCCTGAGCTAGGTGGACCAAAGTTCTGAACTGGCATAAGGCAACTTCCTTTGTTCCTATTTAATTCACCCCTTCTAACTGCGGCACCTCCTTGGGGGGAGACTGCAATTCCAGTCTACTCTAGAAGGTGGCACCAGAGCCCAGCAATTCCTCAACATCTCTGGTGGCAGATGTGTGTCATCCCTCCTTTACGGTCCTTTGTCTGCAAAGAGGACAGAAACTCTGAACATCTGGGTTTTGAGGGGAGGTTACTGTTTTTGTTTTGTCTTCTTGAGGAGTCCCCTGGAAAGGAAGAAAATGAATTATTATTCCATGCTTTCTCCCTTCGCAGCAAAATATTGCACGTACTTCAGCAAATATTAGCCCCTACGGAGTTCATGGAGACTTACATAGAGAAATGGGTGTAGGATTGCAGCCTTTTCTTCAGGTATCTGGAGAGTTGAGAAAGAGTTTGGTATTGGTGTTGAGGGACACTCTAAAGTGACATTTGGGGCTTCTGATCTTTAATGATTAATTCAATGGGGAAGCTTCATTTCACAGAATCATAGAGTTAGGAGGGACCCAAAGGGTCATCAACTCCAACCTAAGAATGCATCAAAAGAGTCAGTGGGTGCCTCACCAGGTAGCTGTAGTGTGTGTGTGTGTGTGTGTGTGTGTGTGTGTGTGTGTGTAAGGAAAATACCAGCCGGTCCTGTAACTCCCAGACCACCTTGTTTGAGGAACATAACTCAGTGGCAAAGCATCTGCTTTGCATGCAGAAGGCCACAGGTTCAGTCCCCAGTAGCATCTCCAGACAGTCCCCTGCCTGAGACTCTGGAGAGCCAATGCTGCCAGTCAGTGTCGACAATACTGAGCAAGTGGACCATTGGTCTGACCCAGCAGAAGGCAGCTTCCTATGGTGCTATTTGATTCGGCTCTTTACTCAGAACTATGAGGACTAGAATCTTACTTTCTTTTTATGAGACAGGGTACAGTTCAATAGCAGAGTGCTTGGTTTGCATGCAGAAAGTCCCAGATTCAGTCCTCTGGCCATATCTCCAGATAGCGCTGGGAATTCTCCACAACTGACACCCAGGAAAGAGTTACTGCCAGTCAGTGTTGACAATACTGAGCTACATACTAGACCTTTGTGTCTGACTCGGTATAATGCAGCTTCCTATGTAAAAAGAACAGCAGGATTGCAGATCCTGACGAGAACTCATGATCCAATACAGCTCATGATTAGACCAGATTGAATCATGTCAGTCTGTTTTGGAATCTGACTTTGGCAGAATCCTCTCCCATCCCTTATGTGGACTTTTGCATGACTGGGGTGTGTCACCAACTGTACAAAGGCACTTTTTTCCTCTGGCACTGCCCATGACTTGCAGGAAGGGTCAATCATGAGGGGAAGTGGCCCTTGGGCTGAATCAAATGTTTATAGCCGTTTGGAGAAATTAAGATGCTTGCATAATCTTTGGCGACATTTTGGTTGGGCTCATTTCTTGGTCCAATTATGGATTTTTGAATTTAAGGAACAGGAGACTTTAAAGTTGCTGAGGGTGGAATGATAGTTGCAGGGAGGGACGTGAACATCAGAAGAATCCTGCACCTGGATCAGGCCAGCCCCTGAGTGCAACAGACATTCTCCCTACCTGTGGTTCCTAGCAAGTAGAAGCATAGAATCACAGAGTTGGAAGGGGCCCTGAGGATCCTCTAGTCCACCCCCCTGCAATGCAGGGATAAGCAACTGTCCCATACAGGGATCAAACCTGTGACCTTGGTATTATCAGCACCATGCTCTAACCAACTGAGCTAGAGACGACCCCCCAAGGTATACTGTCTCCAACAGTGGGGATGTCTGGCTGCAGGATCAGCACAGAAGCCCATCTAATCCACCAGGCTGTTCCTATAGTTACAAAGCAGATGCCCCAATGGAATGCCCACCACAAGACAGACGTGAGCACAACAGCAGTTCTCCCCACCTGTGATTCCCAGCAACAGGTATTCAGAGGCATCCTGCCTCCAATGCTGGGAGCAGAAAATATGAAGAGCCCTGCAGCTGGATCAGGCCCAGCATCCTTTCCAGACAGTGGCCAACCAGATGCCCCAATGGAAAGAAGCCCACAAGCAGGATCTTAGTGTAACAGAAACTCCACAGTTGTTGTTCCCCGTCATCTGGTATTTAGAGGTAGACTGTCCCTAGGCATGGAGGTTCTGCTAACCCAAGAGACTTCCATAAGAAAGGCCCTGCTGGATAAGGTCAGTGGCCCATCTGCTCCAGCATCCTATTCTCCCAGTGGCCAACCAGATGCCCATTATGGGAATGACCTAAGTGCTACAGCAACTCCCCTCACCTGCATCTCCTAGCAAGTGGTATTCAGAGGTGGAGTGTCCCTGAGCATGGAAGTTCTGCTATCACAATGGACTTCCATAAGAAAGGCCCTGCTATTAAAGGCCAATGGCCCATCCAGTCCAGCATCCTGTTCTTACAGTGGCCAACCAGGTACCCCACAAGCAGGACCTGTGTGCAACAACAACACACTCCTGTGATTTCCAGCAACTGGCATTCAGAAGCATTGCTGCCTCCGATGCAAGGAAGTTGGATCCCTGCTGGATTTTTATTTCTCCCCTTTCCCTTCCCGTTTGATCTGAGACAGTTCCTAGGCAGGATTTCTTCTCCGCGCCTTACCAAGAGGGGTCCTTTGCGGTCCCCTCCTTTCTTTGCTGCTGGATGCCGCCAGGGGGCGTCAGCGGGCGTCAGAAAAGGCCGGGCGGGAAGAGGAGGGAGGGAGGGAGAAGAAGGTGGGCTCTGGAGGACGGCAGAGTAGAAGGATGCTTTAACACCAGCCTGCGCTTGCTGGGCACGGCGGCTCCTCCTACCCTCTCTCTCCGCCACCCGTTACATCCCCGCCCCGCTCGCCCAGGCAGAGCCAGCGCAAGAGGCGCAGGAACAGGGGATGCTTTTGCAGAGCGGGCGCCGTCCAGGTTTGCAAAGGCGAACAGAAGCAGAACCGTTAGCCTCCGCCCCTTGCGTCTCCGTCTCTTCAATCTCCTGCTTTTTTGCAGAGCTTCCTGACTGAATCATCAGCCTGGTGTGACGCCCAGGAGCGGGTGAGGAGCGCCCAGGAAGCCTAGAGGGAGCTAAGAGGTGGTTGTAGTAGCCACCGGGTAGGGACCAGGTTGCCAGGCGCCAGGGCTAGCGGGATGTGGCAGGGTTGGCCGGCTGGTTTGGGTGGCTGGTGGGCGGCGGAGCCCAGCCTGGCGCGAAGCATGGAGCCCGGCTCAGAATGAAGGCGGCGGCGGCCGGGCTGCCCGTCGAGGCGAGGAAGGGGCGAGTCAGAAGAGGAGGAAGGAGGTGGAGGCGCCCCCCGACGACGCGATGTCGGTGCCTTTGCTGAAGATCGGCGTGGTCCTCAGCACCATGGCCATGATTACCAACTGGATGTCCCAGACCTTGCCGTCCCTGGTAGGGCTCAACACCACCAAGCTGACTGCAGCCTCCGGGGGCACCTTGGACAGGAGCACTGGGGTGAGTTGCCCCTTTCTTTGACAGGGGATGGGCTTGGGAGAGGGCGGGGAGGAAGGAGCAGCAGAGGAACATGGACCCTTAGTCCATCCAGCTCAGTAGTGTCCACACTGACTGGCAGCTGTGGCTCTCTCCAGGGTTTCAGGCAGAAGACCTTTGTAATTGAATCTGGGACCTTCTGCATGCAAAGCAAATGCTCTACCCATTAAGAAATAGCTGCTCCTGGTGAATGTAGGAAGCTGCCTTATCAGACCCTTGGGCCATCTAGCTCAGCAGCACCCAGACTGGCAGCAGTAGCTTTCCAGGGTTTCAAGCAGGGGATTGAACCTGGGACCTTCTGCATGCAAAGTAGATGCTCTTCCTCTGATTAACCTTAAGAGCTAGTCAGACCCTTGGTCCCTCTAGCCCAGTCCTGCCTGAACTACCTGAACTAACTAGAAGAGGTTATCCCAGGTTTCTGGCAGGGACATTCCCAGTCCTGTCTGAAGAGGCCGTTGCAGGGTCAAACATGGGAACTTTTGCATGCTAAGCAAGCGCTGTCACTAAGCTATGATGGCCTTTCCCCAAATGGGTGGGTTCTTGCAGAACTGGGAGCCTCCAAACTCTCTCCTCCTAGGAGACACACCTTTAGAAGGGCAGGGTGGGTGCTGGCTGGCTGGAAGTGTGTAGATCACCTTCTGCCACCTGTGGTCAACTTGGCAAGCATCTACCCAATAGGGAAGGTTACATACACAGAGACAGGCACACAGACAGACAGACATATTGCATCCAATCCATCAGAGTCTTTTTAGCAGGTGGCTTGGAGCGGGGCATATATCTTGTGTCACTCCCTTCCTCTCTTTCTAACTTAAAATTGTGTGTGTGTGTGTGTGTGTGAGAGAGAGAGAGAGAGAGAGAGAGAGAGAGAGAGAGAGAAATCATCCACCCTATAAGCAAAGTTGTCTTAAAATACTAGCTTTGCTTATAGGGTGGATGGTTTCACACACACAAACTCACACACACACCATTTAGTCGCCTCCCACCACCTAAATCCCCCCTCTGTAGATTATCAGGTGCAAATTTCATACAAAGGCTTGCCATTGCAGGCCTCACTGCTTTGAGTCCTTAGCAATGCCCTGACCACCAGCAGTCCTGCCTGCAGTTAGACATTTTGGCTTTCAAAGACTTCAGCTCTCTTTTCTCCTCATCCAGTCCTTGGGTGTCTTAAGATTGGGAAGTGGCTGAGGTTCTCTTTAAAAAAGAAAAAAAGAAAAAGCAAGCAGTGTTTTGTGGGGGAGGGGGCTCTGCCCTCTCCTCTCCATCCCATCCATCAGAGTCAGAGGGAGGAGAATGTGGTACCCAATTTTTGCATCTGTCCACACATATGACCTGGTGCAGCACTTTCTAAATGAAGGGATGGTTTGCATACCATCCTAGGACTGAAACATCAGGTGAGGTCTTGGAACACCTGAATATGCTTCCACATGTCAAACAATGCAGAAATCCCTCCCCCCTAAAAAAACAGAATCACAGGAACTGTAGTTTTATCCCCCACAGGGTGACCATTTTCAGCACCCTTCACAAACTAGAGTTCCCGAGATCATCCAAGGAAGGACTATGCTTTAAATGCATGGCATGTATTCAGTCATGTACAATGCTGACCCAACCCTATTGCATGCAGAGTTTCATTCATACTTCTTTCAAGAAATGGCTTGTTCACCTTCATGTGCGAGCAGGTTCTGGGGTGAGATTTGGAAGTGTACTGTGGAGCAGGACAGTGTGCGAGCCTCAAAGAAAGAGAGCTTGCATCAGGGTCCCAGTCCTGTGCACGCTTATATGTCCCATATAAAAATAAAATTGGTGTGTGGAAAGATGGATTGAGTGGTGATTGTGATTGGTGGGGAGCATTGAAATACCCACTCTAAGGGGAATCCTCTTAGTGTTGGTCTAACAAGTGGACTTAATGCAGCGGGTTTGGAGTCTGTGATGTGCTTTGCTGGTGGGGGGAGAGAGCACTTTGTGGCTGAGAGCATGAACCCCCCCCCCCCCATAATCCGTCTCCCTAATTGTAAGCCCAGTGAACTGTGGCTGACCATGTTCATTCTCCTCCTTCCTGTTTATCAATCTCTTGCCCTGTGCAATGTCAAAATTGTGGTGGTTTTTTTATAGCCACCTTATGATGTTGTGCAAGAAAACGGTGTACAGGTGGAGAAGTGTGATGGGGCCCACCAGTTCCCACCTGTCTCCTCCTCCATCACCACCATTCCCTTCCCACCCACCCCACCCCCCAAAAAGAGGCATGAAGGATATAGGAAGGAACAGCCTTGATTTATGCAGCAATTCATTTCATTTTTTCATCTTCAAAACGGGAGGTAGTTTTTGTCCAGGAATTAAGATGGCAGGGTGCAGTTGACTCTGGATTAAGCCCCATCAAAAACAGTGAGACGTCCTTCTGAGCAAACAGATGCTCAGATTTCTGCTGCAAATCACGCTGTTCATTGCAATATGGGGTGTGTGTGTGTTGCTCAGAAATGATTGCTGACTAGGTCAATTACCGTGTGTATAGGGGGTGAAACACAAGATTTATAAAGCAGCTGTAAATCTTTGTGTGTGTGGAGGGAGTAAAAACAACAACAACCAACAACACCATGTCCTGTATTTGCTGTTAAAACACAGGCTCTTTAAGGGATTAGAGCAAATGAAATTGAAAGAAGCAAGCTGAAGCGTGTACAGAAAAGAGCGGCCAAATTGATAAGAGGTCTGGAAACCAAGCCTTATGAGCAATGGTTGAGGGAGTTTGGGATGTTTAGCCTGGAGAAGAGGAGAAGGAGAGGGGATATGATAGCCAGTTTCAAACATCTGAATGCCTGCCACATGAACGATGGAGCAAACTTGTTTTCTATTGCTCCAGAGGGCAGGACCCAAATCAATGGATTCAAGTGAGAAGAAGGGAGATTCCAACTAGACATTAGGAAGAACTTTCCAACAGTAAGGTCTATTCGACCGTGGAACAGACTTCCTTGGAAGGTGGTGGACTTCTTTACTGGAGATTTTCAAGCAGAGGTTGGGTGGCCACCTGTCAGGCATTATTTAGTTGTGATTCCTGCATTGCAGAGGGTTGGGCTGGATTACTCTTCCAGTTCTACAGTTCTACGATTCTGTGAAACCAATATGCTTTTGGGAATATTCCCTGTTGCTGAGGCTGATGTGCCATTTTTACAGTGGATGTCTCACCTGAGCAGGGAAGATTAATGATCTATTCAGGGTCAGGAAGAGGAGAGGGAAGAATCTGCTACCCAAACTCTTTTTAGACTGTTCCCTCCACACTCTTCAGATGAAATCCCACCCCACCCCCAAGAAATCTCTCGGTTGTGATCATTATGGCTATGATTTAAGGTGTCGTTTTGTTAGCCAGTTTCCTGGATTTAGGTTATTTTAGAAAGCAGAAGTCTAATGTGGGTGGAGAAGGGTCTGATATCTTTTCAAGGTGTGGTTTGGGTAATTTGCAAAAGGACCAGAGCTCTTGCATTTGTGAGCCCCTGGATTTGAAAAGTACATTTATTATTATTATTATTATTAATTAGGTAGGTATCCCACCTTTCCTCCAAGCAACTCAAGGTGTATAGTTCTCCTGCCTATTTTATCCTCGCAACAACCCTGTGAAGTAAGTTGGGCTGAGAGTAAGTGACTGGTGTAAGAGTTTCCTGACTGAGCAGGGGGCTTGAACCCTGGTCTCCCAGATGCTAGTCCAACCCTCTAACCACTATGCCATGCTGGCTCTATTAAGATATTGTCTTCCTATTTCCAGGTGAGAAAGACAAAGGGGAGTTTGAGAGAATGTGACTCTTTGGAATCAGTGCCAAAAGGGTGTGTGTTGTTACTGAAGCAGGATAATGTTGTGATGGGGGTGGAAGGGGTGTGTTGATGTGGGAAGGGGAGACAGTGTGTGAAAGCAGAAGACATCCCAGTGTCCCAGAAGCTGGGTCGGGGATGGTTTTGCTATGATTCCTGCATTGCAGGGGGTTGGACTAGATGAGCCTTTGGGGTCTCTTCCAACTCCACAATTATATGATCCAGTGATCCCTGCCCATCAACCATGCTGGCTGTTGGGGCTGGTGGGAGCTGTAGTTTATTTATTTCATAAAATGTATATACTGCTTGGTTGTATAAAACCTCAGTGTAGTCCAACAACATCTGGAAGGCACCAAGCTGGAGTCAACTCTGGCTGGCAGCAGCTCTTTGGGTAAGGGAATGCAGAATCTGGGGTCTCAGTCCTCTCTCCCCTTGTCTGAAACATACAGATTAAATATGGAAGGAACTATTTTCATTTGTAGGATTTTTTTTACTTCTCCTCCTTCTCCTCCCCCACTCCCCACCCACTTTGGTGAAACAGACTGACCATAAAGATGCTTTTAAAGTGGTTAATTATTTACAGAGCTACAAAAATAGTCCCTAGAGCCATTCTCTGGAACTCCAAGTACCTGGAAAATTCGGACAAGATGTTTCTCTGTCCATTCTAAAAGAATCACAGTAAACAGTAATGTGCATGATTGCAAAGGTGGGAGTTGCCAGTTTATCTGAGCATTGGGTTCTAAACAACCAGGTTCATACCATCCTATATTTCTCTGATGAAATAGGGATGTCCTATTCCATTAGTAGTAGTAGTAGTACCCCGGACATCTGACTGGGTTGCCCCAGCTACTCTGGGTGGCTTCCAACTAATAATAATAATAATAATAATAATAATAATAATAATAATACATTAAACATAAAAACTTCCCTATGCAGGGTTGCCTTCAGATGTCTTCTAAAGGTTGTATAGTTACTTGTCTCCTTGGCTTGGGGGTCACAAAACTCCATACCTTCCAACATTTCTCCGATGAAAATAGGAATGTCCTAAGGAAAAGCAGGACATTCTGGGATTAAATCAAAAATCGGGATGGCTTCTGTAAATCCAAGACTGTCCCTAGAAAATAGGGACACTGGGGGGGGAGGGTCCTGCAGGTTTCACTCAGAGTAGACCCACTGATATCAATTGGCCAATGTTAGTCACAAGTGTTGATTTTAATAGGCCTGCCCCAAGTATGGCTAATGCAGGATACAACCTCATGGAGGAGAGGGCTATCAGTGTCTACTGCTTTCACAGTCAGAGGTAGCAATGCTTCTGAATACCAGCTGTTAGAAGCTGCAGGTGGGGAGAGGGCTGCTGCCCTCAAGCCATGCTTGTGGGCTTCCCATCTGGTTGGCCACTGTGAGAACAGGAAGCTAGACTAGATGGGCTCCCTTTGGAGCCAAGGTCTTCTTAAGGAGGTCTGTTGTGACAGCACAACCTCCATACCAGATAATGGGAAATAACAATTGAAGAGTTCCTTGTTTTGCACCGCTTTCCCATGCGGGTGCAAAGAGGGAGATTCAGGGCATGACGCAGATCCCGCCACCTTCAAAGTTAAGTGATGTGACTTGATTTCTCAGCATCCCTCCTAATCTTTCTCATGCGCAGATTAAAGGGGTGGAATAACTGCCCTGAGATCTGCAGATGAAGGATGGATAAGATTGATAGATGATAGATAGATGATTGATTGATTGATAGATAGATGATAGATAGATAGATAGATATAGATAGATAGATAGATAGATAGATGATAGATAGATATAGATAGATAGATGATAGATAGATGATAGATAGATAGATATAGAGATAGATTAGATAGATAGATAGATAGATAGATAGATAGATAGATAGATAGATAGATAGATATAGATAGATAGATGATTGATAGATAGATAGATAATAGATAGATAGATAGATAGATAGATAGATAGATAGATGATAGATGATAGATAGATTTCATGGTGGGTCCAAGCATCAAGGAGTTCCAGTGTGGAGGGGGCCACTTTTTTGGTTCTTGGGACCTTGCAGTTTACCCTCAATTCAAGAGAAATTGTCCTCACACAACCTTCAGACCAAAACATCACAGTAAAAAGGCAGATTTTTTAATACAACTGTATGATGGCTATGCCCTGCCTCTATAGCTGGAAGCAGTAAATGCTTCTGGACTTCTGTTGCTGGAAACTGCAGGAAGGGAGAGGGCTCTTGTGCCCGGGTCCTTCTTTTGGGGTTCCCATAATGGGCATCTGGGTGGCCTGTGTGAGAACAGGAGGCTGGACTAGGTGGACTAGATGGCATGAACCAGCTACAGAGCTCTACACTACCTCCACTATCGGAGGCAGTGTGTCCATGAATACCAGTTGCTGGGAACCACAGGGCTCTTGCACCCAAATACTTCTTTCAGGCTTCCCAGGAGAGGCATCTGGTTGCAGCAGCATAGCATGGGTTGCCACGAGAGCCAAGCGGGGCCTGCCCACCCACGCAAGGGGGAGCCTGGCTGGCCAAGGCAGCTCTTGGTGGGCAAATCCCCCTAATGTCCTCAGAGAGGAGCGCCGGGCCGGGCTGCACTGGGGTCTTCCCTTCCCACCTCCCTCCATCTGTGCCTGCCCACCGTGGGCCTGGGCTGCTCCCGCTGTTGTCTGGGGAACACAGTCTGCTGAGCGAAAAGCAAGTGCCTCTGTGGTTGCCAGCCTCTGCTGGGGTCGGGGTGGTGAGGCCAGGCTGGGCTCTAGGGCTCAGAGACCCCTTGCAGACAGGCATGGAAGCCAGGAGAGCCAGGGATGAGGCCTGCCAGAACCTGCATGGGCAGTGGCAGCAGCCCCTGATGGGCTGCTCTGTCACCTTTGCAGGACGGGACAGAAATCCTAACAGAAGCTGTAGGGGTGCCTAGTTGTACGCTCGGGGCCATGGCCCCCCTAGTCTCCCCCATGCTACGCCACTGTCTGATTGTCCACTATGAGAACACAGTGCTAGACTACGTGGCGCCCCTTTGGTCTGATCCAGCAGAGCTCCTCTTATGTTCTTAAATTCTTGGCAATGTTAGATGTGAAGATTAATGGGTCTGTGTTGGGCAAGGAGGGACCTCAGAAGCCCCCAGCTTGAAGCATTGTGAGGCTCTAAACATTACTTCTCCCATGAGTTCACTTAAAGGTAAAGGTAAAGGACCCCTGACAGCTAAGTCCAGTTGCAGACGACTCTGGGGTTGCGGCGCTCATCTCGCTTTACTGGCCGAGGGAGCCGATGTTGAGTTCACTTAGGTGGTCTTAAATGAGTGACACCCACACACCCAAAGCCACACATCCCACCATCAGCTGCAAGACAGGGACAAGAAAGAATTCTGGCCCACCCAGTGGTGTTGCATGAGCAAGCAGCGCCTGGGGCAGGCACATGCGTGACGGAAGGGTGCATGTGCGCCAGGTGCAGGCAGGGCAAAGAGGGTGAAGGAACCAGCCGTGGCACTGCAGCCAACCCCATCAGAGCGACCCTGCCCCACCCTGGAGCCAAGCAGGGGCACAGTGTGCCCACCCACACAGAGGGGAGCCTGGCCAGATGAGGTGGCATTTGGCTGGCGCAAAGCAGGTGCCCCCACACTGGGACCCCCAGCATGGCCTGTCCCAGTGCTCTGCTCCACGAGCGTTGGTTCCACCAACATCAGGAGAGGAGCACCGGACCGGGCCGTGTGGGGGTTGCCTGTATGGGGGGGCTGCTTTGCGCCACCTCAAAAATCTGCGTCCGGGGCAATGGCCCCTCTGGCATCCCCGAGCTACGCCCCTGGGCCTACCTTATAGGATTGTTGAATAGATTACTGAGATGATGTCTGTACTCTGAACACTGTAGTTACTAAACATTTTTATCTGTAGCATCTGGATGTGTAATACTTTGAATTTTGTTCTTTCTCTATATAATTATCATCCTTTGCATTAATTGTCACTCACAACATGAAATAAACAGAATACAAAATTCAAAATAACACCAAAAGTATAAAAAGAACATGATGGACTAAAGCTGTCCATCCTGTAATAAAATAAAAAAGGACAAACCCTACCCCACCTGGCTGAAAAAATGTGGTGTTGTTGTTTTAATCTCCACAGTAGAAGCTGGTAATAATGGTGACATGCATTCTTTCTTTCTTTCAATCTTTGATCCATTTCCTTATCTTGCCAGTCCTCCCCTTTCGACTTTCTATCTAGCTCCCTATTGTCTGTCTCTCCGGTATGTGGGGAGGATGGGGGGAGGGCTATCCCTCATGCATCCACCCGCATTGCCAGTTCCCCACAAGCATCTAGTGGGCTGCTGTGGGAAAAGAATGCTAGGCTAGATGGCCCATTGGCCTGATCCAGCAGACTCTTCTTATGTTCCTATAGACCCTATGGAACCTCCAAGTCCAGACGCAGTGCCTAGGTTCTGTGGGGTATTTGTCCCCTGTGAGAACAGGACACTGGCCTAGATGGGTCCCTTTTGGTCTGATGCATCTCTCAGGTTCTTATTCTGTGTTCTCTTATGCTTCCTTCCCCTATGCCAAACTAGGTGTTGCCTACCAACCCAGAAGAAAGTTGGCAGGTCTACAGTTCTGCTCAGGACAGCGAAGGGCGCTGTATATGCACAGTGGTGGCCCCCCAACAGACAATGTGCTCGCGCGACGCCAGAACGAAGCAACTGCGGCAGCTATTAGAAAAGGTAACCAGGTGTCCCAGGAAGACCCAGAGGGTGGGAGGGCGTAATGACTACTCTGGGATGCAAATGGAGCTGAGCTTAACTACTGCATAACCAAGTATGGATTTGAGATAAAGATTGCCCAATTGCTCTCTTGTTTTTTGGGGAGGGGGGAGGAGTGAATATTTGTAACAGAACTTCAGCTTGAATGTGTTGTTTCCCTACACTTGCCTTGCCCCACAACTACAACCTCTAATGGATTTTGGTGATAGGTTAATCATCTAAAGTTTTAAGTTGATTAATTGGTGGAACTTGCTTTTTAAAAAAACAAAAAACAACCACAACAGGGGGTTATGTCCCTCTACCTTCCACCAACCTACTGCTATAATCTTTAATGAACTTCAGTAGTAGATTAATCTTGCAGGTCCCCCTTTCCAAACACAATGCATCCTGTTCGCTAGGCAAGCATTCATGTCATGAGCTGATTATTTCCCTTATTTCCCATGGGAACATTTCTCATCTGTCCCTGCCACTCTTCATAGTTTCTGCCTGGAATTGGCTGCTGTTGACCAGCAATGCAAAAACAAGGGAGTGGGCAAACTCCTGCTGCTCAAATATGTGAATCAGCTATGCCTGGAGCGTGGCTTCAGGGTAATTCTTTATGTTCGGGTAACTGAATTGCAGATAATTAGTGTTCCGATAGCGGGACCTGCATGCATTTTTAAAGGGTTGTGTCTCCCATCCTTACTTCACTCCAGAAATACAATATTTAATGAACTTCAGTGGTAGGTTAATCAACTCAACTTTAGTTGATTAATTGGTGGGGCTGAAAGTTGGGAACTTGTTCCTTTAAAAAAAAAGTCTATTATTATTATATTAGGAAATAGAAAAACTGGTGATGAGTTCCAGCTAAGTCATCCTGAATGTCACCCAACAACTCTCCCTTCAGTGTATAAAATGTCAGTTATTTGCAATTTTATTTCATTTGAACCAACTGATTGAGAAAAAGGCAGTTGGTAAAATGGCTAAAATGTTTAATCTTTGCATAAGGTTCACAGTTCACAATTTTGAAATTCTTGCATTCGATCAGTAGAATTATATTGGTTGGAGAACATAATACCAAGTCCAGTTGTATGGGTGAAAACCTGGGTAATTATGAAATTGTGAGCAAAAAAAATAATGCATAAAATCACACACACACACACACACACACCCTTCTCCAGTTCTGAACTGTGATATCTTTATAGAGGATTTGGCCTTCTCCCTTCTGCAGGTACCTTTTATAAGATATAACCCTTCCACGGTCAAACTCTAAATACCGATGCATGTCTGCTGCCAAACCCTGCCAAATTTCAAATATAGCAATTGCATGTCATGGGGTTCTTCTCACATTTTAAATACCTGAGCACGCAGGAGCATCTACCTAGGGAGAATATCTGACATTTAAAAACTTGCAGGGGAAACTTACTGGGAAGAGCAAATTTTGTTCTGGCTGTGGAAGGGATCAATTAATTTGCTTTCATTAATTCGCTATGCTTGGATGTTACGGTGCTGAAAGCCGCAGGAAAAAAATATTTTTGAAAGCTTGAGGCACTCTGATGCATTCTTGTTAATTAAAACCGTGAAAAGATCAAAGCCTTGGGTGTTGTCCCAAATAAATCAGCAACAGGAGTGGGTGAGTATTACTATCATCATCACATCGCCAATTGGCATGGTTTGCATTACTCTCCATTCACAGAATGCTTTAGCATTTTCAGAGAGCCAGTCGGCCCAATTTTTCCCTGATATATATATATATTTTAACAACCATAGGAAGGAAACAAAATTAAAATGGAGCACCATGCTGTTGTCTCTCTCCTCCTGACATTAAAGAAAAGCTAGAGTAGGATGACAGCATGGCCCACGTCAAATGCTAGCCAAAAAAAAGGAGTTGTGATATGTAGCGATGTATATTTTACACCAACACTCACGTGATCTGATTTTAATAGCCTGCAGGGCAGAGAGATCAGAAGAATCTTATTAAGGGATATAATCTTGGGATCTAGGGATTCTTTGCTTAATGGTTTCCACTGATCATGCATAAATTCTTATGAAATGACATCTTTTCTGCCCCCCCTCCCTTTGAATTAATTGGATTCTTGTGGGTGATACCATTATCCCTGGCATTTGGAAGACTATCTGCCAGGATTTGATTAATATTTCCATATCTATATATCTATCTATTTTACCTCCAACTCTGGAAGTAAATCTTAGCTGGTCCAGAATTTCTGAATCTATACTTCTGAATCCTTGCATAGGTTCAAGCTGAGGTCCATTTGAGCTGCTGGTTCCCAAAAAAATTCTAGCCACCGACTACTTTCTTCCATAAAGTCATCCCCTGTGCCCCCTACCATACCCTACAAAAAAGAAAAAATCAGAATAGCAATCTGCATGAACCACTAAGGAAGATAATAACAATAAAATTCAAAGCAGTCTCCATGAATTGCACACCTATTCAAAATCCAATTAAAAGTATTTACTTTAATTAATTCAACAAAATTGGTGAACTTGATCTGTTGATATCAGCTTTTTAAAGTCTGGTAGTCATTTACCCCTCCAGCACGTCCCTGCCAACCGCTTGCCTCTTAGTGCATCCCAGGTAATCCCATCTCCCCACAGTGGGTGTACTGCCTACTTTGGGAACCATTGATTTAAATGAACACTCCATTTCTGACTGTGGACAGCCATTTACTTCTGGGAGGTTATGTCCTTCCACTGACGATGGCCTCCGAATGATATTCAGAGGTATAGTTCTCCTGAGCATGGAGGTTCCATTGAATTGTTAGAGTTCGTAGCCACCCAGCAGGCCAAATCCTCTGTGAAGAAAGGTGGACTCTTGTAACTTTTGTATTACGAAAAATCATACCATACTTCATGGAGACGTTTTAAGCAGCAGGGCTAGCATAGCTTAACCCCTGGGAAGGGAAAGCAAGCTTAACTATGAATGATCAAAGATGGACTAGCCTTAGAGTGGGGATAGCTTGTACTATACTTCCAGAGGGGGGATTATCCTCGCAGGAGACTGGCGTGTGACAGAGGTGATCCCATAGCTGAAGGCATTTTGAAGGATAATATGGTGCCTTCTCCCCATCCCATTTGCAAGAAGTGATGGATCCCATCCTTTCTCATGACAATAGAACTTGTGGATATCCAACAAAGCTGGGTGTTGAAAGATTCAGGACAGATAAAATGAAGTCCTTCTTCATGCAATGCATAGCTAAACTATGGAACTCATTGCCGCAGGAGGCAGTGATGGCCACCAACCTAGATGACTTTAAAAGAGGATTAGACAAATGCATGGAGGAGAAGTCTATCGATGGCTACTAGGCACAAAGTGCTATGCTCCGCCTCCGTATTCAGAGACAGCAGTGGGAATCTGGTTGGCCACTGTGAGCACAGGATGATGGACTAGATAGGTCCTTGGCCTGACCTAGCAGGGCTCTTCCTATGGAGGCCTATTATGATAGCAGAACCTCCATGCCCAGGAACAGTCTACCTCTGAATACCAGACACTGGGGCTTAAGAACTGGAGGATACTATTGCACTCAGGCCCTGCTTGAGGGCTTCTCATTGTGGCATCTGGTTGACCCCTCTGGGAACAGGATGCTAGACCAAACGGGCCTACTTTGGCCTGATCCAGCAGGCTCTTTTGATGTTCTTGTGTTGATTTCCTTATGCTATTTCCACATCACCATTTTTGCTTTTAAAGAACAGAATAGAGACACTTGTTCATCAGCCTCCCACACACAGAGAACTGCAAAAAAGAGGAAAAGGAAAATCTAATTATGTTTGGAGAGGTTGAAAGTATAACATACTATTAGTGGATTGTTATAGCAAGGCAGATCTGTAACAAATGGAAATGAAGGTGGTTAAACACACACACACACACACACACACACACACACACACACACACACTTCAAACATAGAGAGAGAATCTTCTAGAGTGGCTTTTCACAACATTTTTAATAGAAAGTTGACATTTCTATGAAGGGGTGTAACCCTCTGCTGTTTGCAAAGCATGAAGGCTGCATACAGAACTGGATTAAATGAACATTAAAAGTATTCCTGGGCTCATTGTTGCTCAATGTCTTTGTAAACAACTTGGATGAAGGTATTGAGGGAATGCTCATCCAATTTGCAGATATCACCAAACTGGGAGGGGTACTCAATGCTGCAGAAGTCAGAATTAGGATTCAAGATGTCCTTAAAAGATTGGAGAACTGGGTCAAATCTTACAAAGTAACATTTGATAGGGACAAATGTCAGGTTCTATGTTTAGGCAGGAAGAACCAGTTGCACAAATATGATATGGGGGTGCCTGGCTTGCCAGTAGTGCATGTGAAAAGGATCTAGGGGTATTAGTAGATAACAAGCTTCACATGAGTCAACAGTGTGATGCAGCAGCAAAAAAAAAAAAAATGAATGCTATTCCAGGCTGCATCAAAAGAAATCTAGTGTCCTGACCAAAGGAAATAATAGTACCTCCCTATTCTGCCTTGGTCAGACCACACCTGGAATACTCTGTCCAGATCTGGGCACCACAATTTAAGAAAGCTATTGACAAGCCAGACCAAAGCTAACAAAAGGAATTTCAATGGGGAAAATGTCAGGTTCTGTGTTAGAAGCTACACAAATACAGGATGAGGAAAAGCTGGGAAATGTTATGTACTGTGTGTTATGTACACAGCCTAAGTGTATAAAATCAGGCTGCATACATGCCATACATTTAAAGCATGCAGAAGCATGTACACACACACACACACACACACACAGAGAGAGAGAGAGAGAGAGAGAGAGAGAGAGAGAGAGAGAGAGAATTTTGGGAACTATAGTTTACCCACCACAGCTGCCAATTTCAAGCACCCTTCAGAAACCACAGTTCCCATGTTTATTTGTTTTTGTTTTTAATGGTGGGGTTCTTTAAATGAATGGTGCATAGCCAGCCTTGGTCTCATTCATTAGATGGCTTTTTACATGGCACCCACCTCTTCCTGAGTCTCTTCTTGTGATTGATGCTGTAATATATCAAGGTGAGTTCATGGTGCCTAGCAACTGTCTCTATCGCTGGGGTTCCCGCTTTATCTGTATCCAGCAATCGATGACTGTCGGGTGTAAATGAAGAGGTGATCATTCACCTTACAGTGAAGACATCCTTCTTAGTCAAACACACCCAGGCGGTAATGAATCGCCTCCTCTGCTTCAGAAGACAGGTGAGTGAACAGAAGAATGAAAAAAGAGGCTCCATGATTGTCCTCATTTGCACCAAAGATGATGAGTTTAACTGATTATAAGAACGTTGGGGATGGGCCATAGCACCTACATGCTTATTCAGAATCATGAGGACTAGAATCTTGCTTTATTTTTAGAGGAATGTTGGTAGCTCAGTGATAAAGCAATAGCTTTGCATGCAGAAGGTCCCAGGTTCAAGGCCCAATGGGATCTCCAGGTAGGACTGAGAGAGAGACCCCTGTCTGAAATCCGTGTTGTCAGTACTGAAGTACTTGGATCAGTGGCCTGACTCTACCTACTAACACAGCTTTCTGTTTAATTGAACCTTTTATTCAGAACTATGAGGACCAGAATATTCCTTAATTTTTAGGGGAAGGGCAATAGCTCTGTGGGTAGTGCCTGCATCCTCACCAATTTCATGGATAATAAAATGAAACAGCACCATAAGTTTAGACCAGGAGTCCATCCAGTCCATCCAGTCCAACAGCCAATTCTCACAGTAGGCACCCACAACAAGAACACTCATCAGATGTTCCCCATTCTCTGGTATGTAGAGCTAATACTCCGTGGGCATGGAGGTTCTTCTATCACAATGGGCATCTATGAAAAGATGTCCTGTTGGATCAGGCCAATGGCCCACCAAGTCCAGTATCCTGTTATCCAACCAGATGCCCACTAGAGGAAGCCCCGCCCCCCAGCAGAACTTGAACACAAGTGTCTTCTCCATTCCTGTAGTTTCCAGCAACTGGTGTTCAGAAGCATTGCTGCCTCCAACCATGGAAGCAGAACATGGCCATTATGGCTATTGAAACCCTTGACCTCCATGAATTTAATCTGTCCAATTCTCTTTAAAGCCTGTGATTCAGAGGGAACATGGCTTCCAGCTGATAGCCACTGATCAGCATGGATTTGTCCATTAGAGTACCAAGCATAAGTAGAAACATATTCACTATTTTTCCTCCATTCACCTGTCTGTTGAAGTTGTGCTTGTGGGGCGGGGGTGGGAAACTGGCTGCTTCTCAAGTTAACTGCTTCTGTTTATCTTCTGTGTGTCCCTGACCTGCCTCCCTCCAACCCACCTTTCTGCTCAGGTACAAAACATGTCCCAGTCAATAGAAGTGTTGGACAGGCGGACCCAGCGGGATCTACAGTACGTTGAGAAGATGGAGAACCAGATGAGAGGCCTGGAGTCGAAGTTCAAGCAAGTGGAAGAGAGTCACAAGCAGCACCTGGCCAGACAGTTCAAGGTGAGCTTGCTTCTTGCCCAGGGGATGAGACTGAGCTGCCTTTGGGGGGGGGGAAGGTGGTCTTAGCTCAGCAGGTAGAGGGTTTGGTTTGCATGTAGAAGGTCAAGGCTCAATCCCCAGCTAAAGCTGGGAAGTTCCCCTGCCTGAACCGCTGAAGAGCCTCTGCCAGTCAGTGTAGGTATTGCTAAGCTAGATGTACCAATGGCAGAAAAGGGCAGTTTCCTATGTTCCGATCGACTCAACCATTTATTCACAGCCATGAGGACTAGAACCTTGTCAAAAGAAAGGCACTAGCTCACTGGTAGAGCATCCGCTTTGCATGCAGAAGGTTCCGGTTCAATCCCTGACTTCTCTGGCTAGGGTTGGGAAGAGATTCCCTACCTGAAACCCTGGAGAGCTGCTGCCTGTCAGTGTTGGCAATACTGAGTTAGAGAGACCAATGGTCTGACTCAGTATCCCACAGCTTCCTGTATTCCGATTATTCAGCCCTCTCTTCAGAATTGTGAGCGCTAGAACCTTTGTTTGTGTGTGAAGGGCTGTAGCTCAGTGGCAGAGCATGCAGACAGCTCCCTAGCAGTATCTCCTATTATGGCTTAGAAAGTCCCCTGTCTAAGACCCTGGAGAGCCACTGCTAAGTCAGTGTGGACAATACTGAGCTAGACAGACCAATGGTCTGCCTCAGTATAAAGCAACTTCCTATGTTCCTATTTAATTCAGCCCCTCTTCCCAGAACCGTTAGGAACGGAATCCTAATCTCCTCTTACCTGGAGGTGCCTAGAGCCAAACCATTTTAGGACTGCATCGCAAATGCTCTATCACTGAGTTATGATCTTTTCTCATAGAAAGGATGCAGGGCTGTGCACTTATAGTGCAGTTTACATAAAAGTCATGATGTGAAATCATTGGAAGGTTCCCCCCCACACACACACACACTCACACTCCCTCCCTCCCCGATTGTCCAGCCGCTCAGACTGGCTATTGACACTTCCACAACTGAATTTAGAAGGGGTTTTTTGTTTTGTTTTTGAGAGGGACCTCTTAAACCTCAGGGTCCTTTCCCCTTTACAACCCTACCATTGACAAAGTCACTGTGTGGATGAGAGAAGGATCCCATTCACACCATACATTGAAAGCATGACAAAAGCCACTTTAAGCAGAGAATTCTGGGAGTTCTAGTTTGTTAAGGGTATGCTGAGAGTAGATAAAAGGCCCCCTTAGTCTCCTCTCAGAGTGGTTTAACAGTTAATGCCTCTTTCAAGGGAACTCTGGGAATTGGAGCCCTTTGAGGAGAAGGGGGGAGGGGTGTCTCCTAACAACTCTCGGCACTGTGAACAAACTACAGTTTCTAGAAAATCCATAGCTGTTTAAAATAGTATCACGGTGTTTTAAACATAGGGCGTAACTGTGCCCAAGTCATTAAAGTGTTTTTCTTTTCTTGGGGGTGGGCTGCGGGTGGGCACCTGTTTTTCCAGATTGCAATCCCGCTAACTGCATTGACTTCCGAGTAAACCCACCGGGCTTGCTTGAGAGTCAAGCACAGTTAGGAAGACCAGAACCCATTATTTTATTTTGTCTTAATTGATTAATTCATGTTTTAAAAAGAAAAGAAACAGTCTGTTAATAGCTGCTGTCTGTTTAAGGAGGTTAGCAAGCTAGCTGTTCAACCGCCTCTCATTTTCTTGCTTTCAGGGCTAACTTAAAAGAAATTTTAACACCCAATGTCGCACTGACTGAAGAAGCCGTTCATTCCCCCTCCATGTAACCATGAAAAAAAAAGCAGAAAGCAGAGAGCCTTTCCCGCCATCCTTTGATTTCCTCTTCATTTGATTATTCTTAATTATTTTTGTTTCCGTTTTTTGGCAAATTAGCACCATTATTCCAGCGTCACAAACAGCCGAGAGTTCTAACTTTTGCATGTAAACTGTTAGAGATGCATTTCATGACTAGTTTTGCAAAAATCCTTGTTGATGCATTAATTATTTATTATTATTATTATTATTATTATTATTATTATTATTAATTTATGGAAAAGGGAAAAAAAGAATTTGTGTATGTGACTGAAGCATGTAACCTTAAGATGTTGCATTCTAAAAAAAAAAAGAAAAAAAATTCTAAATAAAGGCCTTTTTTCCCAAATAAGATGGTGTGCTCCAGACTGTTTAATATTATATAATATATTTATATTTATATATCCTTTCCACATTTGGACACCCACCCCCACCCCTACTCAGCAAGCATTAATAATACTAATAATAATGGTGGTCTTTTGTTGTGAGGGTGTTGGAGAAAGCACATCCCAGGCAGGCAGCTCTCTTAGAGGTAGGCGAGGGGTGAGCAGGGCTTTTGCAGACCAGAGCATTGAAACCAAGCTTATTTTAACCTTGCAGGCAATTAAAGCGAAAATGGAGGAGCTTAGGCCCCTGATCCCTGTGTTGGAGGAGTACAAGGCCGATGCCAAATTGGTTTTGCAGTTTAAAGAGGAGGTCCAGAATCTGACGTCAGTTCTTAACGAGCTCCAGGAGGAGATTGGCGCCTATGACTACGAAGAGCTTCAGAACAGAGTGTCAAATCTTGAGGAGAGACTCCGGGCTTGCATGCAAAAATTAGGTAGGCCTGCACGACCCAAGCGAGCAGGAGGAGGAGGACCTGCCCTGGTGGAGGAGAGGGCAGGGGGCACATGCCTCTAACCCGTTTAATGTCAACCAGTCACCAAGACTCAAGAGGTTTAGGAGCTATGTGTACAGATCCGAGCTTTATGTCAAGATGACATAACCCTTCCTTGAGGGGAAGGGGGTGGTAGCGCAGTGGGTAGAGCATCTGCCTTATGTGCCAAAGACTGCCCAGTTCGATCCCCTGCATCTCGTGTTAGGGCTGGGGAAAGACTTGCTGGAGAGCTGCTGCCAGTCAGTGTCAGAAACACTAGCTGTGATTCCTGCACTGCGAGGGGGGGGGGGGATTGGGACAAGATGACACTTGGGGTCCCTTCCAACTCTACTATGTTATGATTCCATGACCTTGACAGATGGTGGACTCTCCTTTATTGGAGGTTTTACGCCGGCTCCCTTGGCCAATAAAGCAAGATGAGCGCCGCAACCCCAGAGTCGGCCACGACTGGACCTAATGGTCAGGGGTCCCTTTACCTTTACTAAGCAGAGTTTGGATGGCCATCTGTCAGGGATTCTTTAGCCTTGATGCCTTCATTCCAGGGAGTTGGGCTAGATGACATTTGGGGTCCCTTCCAACTTTACAATTCTCTTAATTATATGATTCTACTGGGCAAGATACACCAATGGTATAAAGTAGCTTGCAATGTTCCTCTTTAAGGCAGCCCTTTATTGAGAACAATGAGGACTAGAACCTTACTTTATTCTTAGCGGGAGGACCATAGTTCAGTGGCAAAGCACCTGCCGTTTATCCTCCCAGGAGGTCCCAGGTAAGGTCTCTGACATGTGTAGCTGGAGCTGGGGAAATACCCTTTTCTGAAAGCCTGGAGAGCCAGTGTCCATTTGGCCCCTTAATTCTGAACAATGAGGACTAGAAATGTAATATTTAGGGGAGGGTCCATTACACAGTGGCAGAGCACATATTTTGCATGCAGAAATCTCCATGGTCAGTCCCAGGTGGGGCTGGAAATGCCCCCCTGGTCTAAAACTCTGGGAAGCTGTTGCCAGTCAGAGCAGATAGTACTAAGCTAGGTGGAGCTTGTGTTCCTAACCCAGCACCTGTTTTCAGTGCCAAAGTTTTAACCATGGAAAAGAGAGGGAGGGAGAAAAAAAGAAATAATGAGAGAAAGCATAGGCAAAGGTGCTCATGAGGTGGTGCAGAGTGCATTTCCTTGAGTCTCATAGGATCTCCACAGATCAGGAATCAGGTTTCCAAACTGGGTGGTGTTGTTTGGTTAGACTCCAAAGTATCAGGCAGCATGTTTCAGCTGCTCCTTGGGGCTTTGGATCAAGTGATTCTTGGACACCCCCATGGCAAGCCACATTGGAAGTGATAGGGAGTACTTTGATATGCGTTTAGGGGGTGTGTGTGCATTTGCTGTACAGAGGGAGAAGTGAAAAATCCCACTGAACACACAAATCCTTGCAAGCACCAAAATATGTTCTTTGGCAAGCACTCTGAACATGCTCAGAGATACTCTCCTTTTTATCCAGTTTGCAAAAATGGAGGAGGAAGGGGGGAAATAAGACCCAGCTACTGCATGATTATGGTTCCAGCCCCAACATGTCCTAGATGACTATAAGCTGGTCTGTGAACTTGGAGACAGAGATGCTCTTGCCTTGTTCTACATCACATATTCCTGGAATGCATTGCTCATTGGCTACCATTGGGTCAAAGTTCCAAGGAGAACCTTGAAAGGAAACAAATGATTCAGGTAGCAAGGATATTGTTCAATAAATGCACACGTCAGCACATTCACACAGTAGGGAGATTTCGGAAGCATTGGAGTGATGCCCACAACTCTGCGCCAGGAGATAGGCTTGTTCTTTCAGAAGGTCCCAGGTCCAATCCCCAACAGATCTCCAGGTAGAGCTTGGAAAGCCCTCCTATCTGAAATTCTGGTGAGCTGCTACTTGTCAGCATCCACTGAACTGGACCAGGGGTCGCCAACCTTTCTGGAGTGTGATTTTTCGGGAGGCAGGGGAGTGCTACCAGTCACCAAATGGCTGCCATGGAGGCAAATGCTGGGAATCACAAGCAGGGAGAGTTACTGCTTCTGTGGTCAGGTTCTGCTCATTGGCTTCCTATTGTAGCATCCTGTTGACTGCTGTGGGAACAGGACTCTAGACTTTAGACGCCCCCTTTGACTTGATGTAGCACCCAGGCTCTCTTTATGCTTATTACGAACACAGAACTATGAAGTCTTGGTCACCCCCTGACATCCTGCTGCTGACGCTTTTACTCCTGGGTCCACAACAGGTAGACCTTAGGCCCTATCTGTTTTCCTGGAGGGTGACTTCTGCTCTGCTGCCCTTCAGTTTCCAACAAAATAGGTGGCAAACTGGATGAGACTGCTTGAAAGGATGAGGTGGAGCCTTTTCCTTGTTTCCCATTACTCCTGTCTCAAAGTGATCCTCAGGCCAAATGAATCAGTAGCAGCCAATGATACTCCTACTTAGAGAAGACCCACTGAACTGATGGATGTGGCAAATTTAGGTATTTTAATTACAACACCTCTTTTCTGACTAGAACTTAAGTTGGATTCCACCATAATTGTCCAGTGTTATTTATTGATTATATGCTGCTTACATGCCAAATTGGCCTCCAAGCGGTTTACAACTCTAAAACCAATCTGTAATTAAAATAGGCAATAACAATTCCATTGGGGCACTAAGACATCCTTCATTAAAATAGACAATAAAACAAGCAATTGAGAAGCAAAACAGTTTTTAAAAATCAAAAGAGCTAAAACTATAAAATCAAAAGTTCGGTTCAGCGGAATGGCTGAACAGGTGTGTTCTCAAGAGTCAACAGGGCTCATATCTGAAATCACTGCACTGAAGACCCCTAGTCTGCCCATTTTCTGATTCACCAACTCTGTAACTAGGGCCAAACTGTTATCTTCTATTTCACACACACACACGTTCATCAGAACTTCAAAGCCTGGGTGTTGAGTACCTTGACAGACTGAGTTCCTTTTGAAAAAGGATTAGATGCATTCTCTGAACCCACTATTTTGGGGGGCGGGTAAGTTTTCGGTGTAGGACAGAAAAAGGCGTAAAATTGTACATTCATTCAGAATGAGAGCCAAAGCATTGCTCTCATTCCACATGGGCTTTATGATACCTGGGGGTGTAACAGTATGGCCTCAACCTGCTCAGAATGCGATCCCCAATAAACTGAGATGTTAGATCTTAGCAAATGGCACCAATTGAGGCAAGTAAGGGAAGGTGTTGATACAGGTAATGTGGAGGTAGGAAACAGTCACAGGAACTGTGAGCAAAGTTTTGGAGAGTGGTTGTTTCCTCAGCCACCTCTTTCCACACTGAAAATGATTGCACATTATCATTTGGTGAAGCCAGTAAATGGATTCTTGGTTCATATATGTGTGAATGCTAGTAAATGAAGTTTATATAAGAGCATAAGGACAGGCCTGCTGGATCAGGCCAATGGCCCAACTAGTCCAGCATCCCATTCTCACAGTGGCCAATCCAAATGTTCCAATGGGAAACTCAATCATGACCTGAGCAAAAGAGCCCCCTCACTTCCTAGGGTTTCCAACTGGTTTTTAGAAACATTGCTCTCTCCAGCTGTGGAGGCAGAGCACAGCCATCATGGCTCCATGAATTTGCCCAGTCCTCTTTCAAAGCCATTCAAATCAATGACCATCACTCCTTCCTGCAGGAGTGAGTTCAATAGTCTTAACTATTTGCTGTATGAAAGAGCACATCCTTTTATCTGCCCCGAGTCTCTATCCACTTTCTCCATGCCATGCATCATTTTAGAAGCTCCTACCATGTCACTTCTTACTTGCCTCTTGTCTAAACTATAAAGTCCAAAATGCTGCAGCCTTTCCTCCTAAGGGAGTCACTCCATCCCCTTGATCATTTTGGTGGTCCTTTTCTGAACCTTTTCCAATATCCTGTCTGAGATGAGGGGACAAAAACTGAACACAGTACTCCAAATGTGGCCACACCATAGAACTGTATAACAGCATTATGCTTCAATTCAGCAGTTTTATTTTCAATTCCATTCCTAATTATGTTCCAAGGTGTACTTTGTGCTCTCTGTTTTGAGTGCAAGGTGCACATAAATTTATGGAACTGGCTAGGGGTTTGTGTCTTATTTCTGTGTTCCCAGTAACAGCTAGGGTCACAGACAAGAATGCAGGAAGGAAGGCCCATGGAAGGCTGTCTTGAACCAGATTCTTGCTGGAGAGGGCCAGGACCCTGGACAGAGACAAAGGTGCAGGGTGGAGTACATGTGGAACACACATGTCAGGACCATGGACCTTGCAACTGACAGCAGGAAAGCCCTATTTCTGGCATGGCCAAACTTGGCCCTCCAGCTGTTTGGGGACTACAACTCCCACCATCCCTAGCTAACAAGACCAGTAGTCAGAGCTGATGGGAACTGTAGTCCCAAAACAGCTGGAGGGCCAAGTTTGGCCATGCCTGCCCTATTTGGACATACTTGGAACTGATCCTGGTACCTTTTGCATGTGAAACATGTAAAAAAAAAAAAAGCCCATCTCCTGAACTGGCTTAAACTGAGTCCATCAGAGTCCATCAGAGAACTGATCCATCTAAATCCATGAGAGAGGAAGAGGGGTCTTCGGACATCTCCCAACACCCTTAACAATCTATAGTGCCCAGAATTCTTTGGAGGAAGTCATGATTGTTTAAAGTGGCATCATAGTGCTGACATGAACATGGCATAGGCAGTCCTAACAGCACTGAAAACATCAAGCAAGGAACTCTGTTAATACAGTGGCATGCCAGTGATCAAAAATGCCAGTTTAGATGACTGAGAAGCACTATATTTTTTGGCTCAATAGCAGCTGGCAAATACCAGTCATCCAACAAATCAGTGGTTTTGTAAGCAAGAGCGAAAACATGAGTTATCTCTGCTCCATCATCAAAAGTCCTGATTCTGGTCAATTTCCTTTCTTTGCTCCTTTGAACCATTAGCATCCCAGCTGTTTTCAGAACAATTTCCTTTCTTGGGAGTGCCAGAAGGCAGTTTTCTTAATAAGGCTGCTGTTTGTTAAGAGAAGGAGGCTATTGGATGTGGCTGACAATTCTCAATTTAATTACCATTAATTAGAGAAGGAGGAGGGAGTCATAGGCACTGTAACCGCTCTAATGCACCGTGGTGATGATGATGTCAGCTGCTGTTTGGAATGTGCTGTTCAGATCTCCACTACTGCCCATTGTTTAGCACTTTCACAGCTGACTCAAGGTTACATTTTGCTACCCAGAAAGAATCCTAGAATTGGAGAGTTGGAACCCCAGGGGTCTAGTCCAATCCCCTGCAATGCAGGAGTCACAGCCAAAGAATCCCCAACAGATGGCTATCTGACCTGTGTGGATGATCACTGGATGATCCAAGAAGGGACCCCCTGCTGTGTCTCACAAAGCCAATCTTTTTGTTTTCGTTTTCACCTGAGCAGTTTATGAGTGTTCCGCGGCATCACAAACACCCTGGATGGTGATAGGATCATAGGATGGTTGAGTTGGAAGGTTCCCAAAGGGCCATCTAGTTCAACTCACTGCAATGCAAGGGGCTACATGCCTATCTGGCTGCAAGGTGCACTGGAATCCTAACATCCTGTGTCTCCTTCACTCACTTTGGTAAGGTCATCTCCAGGTAACAACTGGGAAAGCCCTGAAACCCTGGAGAGCTGCTGCCGGTCAGTGCTAACAATGCACTTAGATGAACCTGTGGTCTGGCTCAGTTAAAGGCAATGCCCTGTGTTCCCTCTTGAAAGAGGAGTGCTTTCTTTGTAAACTCAGTTTTTGAAAAGAGGGAATTTCCTTGCAGATGGATAGAACAGAAGAAGCTAAGAAGAGCCCAGCTGGATGAGGCCAATGGCCCATCTAGCCCAGCACCCTGTTCTCACAGTGGCCAAGCAGAAGGGTCAATGTGAAATCCATAAGCAGGACCTGAGCACAACAGCAACACTCTCCCCACTTGTAATTTCCCAGCAACTGGCATTCAGAGCCAGACTCCTCTTGAGCATGGAGGTTCTGCTCTCACCGTTGACCTCCACATGGAGAGCATTGCTGGGCACCCATCTAGTCCAACCTCCTATTCTCACAGTGGCCAACAAATAATCATTATGGGATGCCCCAAGCAAGACTGAGCACAATAACAACTTTCCCCTCCTGCAATTCCCAGCAAATGTTACTAAGAGTATGACCACCAGGTTTAGAAAAGGGTCTGCTCAAGACAGAGTGAAGTGTATACCTGTATAAGAATTCTGCACATGGTCTGCTAATGTTTACAGGGGCTTTCCTGTTCACATTCAGTGATAGTCCTCCAGCCAAGGACCTGACTGGGTGGCTTATGAAATGGAAAGCCATCCCTCCACCACCACCCCAAAAAAATTCCCAAGATAATGGCTGATTTAGACAGGGCACCATTAAAATTCATATAGTTTGCTCACTCCCATTGTGTTCAACCTTTCTGCAGCCTGTGGGAAACTGACAGCAATAAGTGACCCAATCACAGTCAAGACATCTGGATCCAGGTTTGGCTCATGGATGACAGACCCACTAGCTCCAGAGGGTGAGAGCAAGGTAAGATGATGAACCTCACTGCACCTGTAACATGATCCTGAGCTTCTTCCTTTGATCCCATACTAAACCATGGACTGCCACCAAGGGATATGCGGCAGTTCCCATTCACAAAATTATGCTTTCATGAGAAAAACACACACACACACACACACACACACACACACAACTTTTCATTGTTTCTCAAAATGTGTCCATTATTTCGTAGCCAGGGTCAGGTTCCCTAAGGAACTGCCTTGTCCCATATATTCCTATGATCCTTAGATGGGATGCTGCAGAGAGTATCTCATGCCCTCTAGTATGTAATAGAAATGGGGCTTTTTAAAGTCATCACTTGATTGCAGGGTATTTAACTACTATGTTGCTCCACAGGACATGCAGTTAAATGTGTGAACTGTCTCCGTAGAAATAAATTCCATCTATAATGGTATTGTGGAGACCCCAATTTCCCAACTGAACCCACAAGCTGTTGATTAGCATTGAAGCACAAGGTTGAATTAGTTCGCAATTCATTCTTGGAGCTACCGGTACTTACAACAGGCAGCAAAGCAGAGTGTTGCATACAACTCCTCAGAGTTGACCAATTTAAATTAGTATACCTAAGTGGGTCAAGTCCAGCAACATAAGAAGAGTCTGCTAGATGAAGCTAAAGGCCCATCTAGTCCAGCATCCTGTTCTCACAGGATGGCCAACCAGATGTCCATTATAGGAAACCAGTAAGCAGGACCTGAGCCCAAGAGCTCTCTCTCCCCTCCCCTCCAGCAACTAGCATTCAGAAGCATTCCTGCTTCTGACTGTGGGGGCAGAGCACAGCCATCATAGCTGGCAGTCATTGGTAGCCTTCTCTATGAATTTGGCTCCTCTTTAAAAGCCATCTAGATTGGTGGCCATTACTTCCTCCTGTGGAAGTCAGCTCCATAGTTTAACTATGCTCTGCATGAAGAAGCCCTTCATTTTATCTGTCTTGGATGTTGCAATATTCATCTTCTTGGAATGTCCATGAGTTCTAACCTTATGAGAGAGGGGGAGAGAGAAATCTCTCTCCACTTTCTCCATGCTGTGCATAATTTTATAAATGTCTATCATCTTACAGTTTCTCTAGACCAAAATGCTGCAACCTATTTTTTAAAATTGTTGTTGTTGCTGTTGTTTGTCCTACACCCTAAGGTCCCAGGCATTAAAACACAATAAAAAACCATTTAAAACAACTGACAAACACATACAGTGGTACCTCGAGTTAAGTACTTAATTCGTTCCGGAGGTCCGTTCTTAACCTGAAACTGTTCTCAACCTGAAGTACCACTTTAGCTAATGGGGCCTCCTGCTGCCGCCGCGCCGCTGCTGCGCGATTTCTGTTCTCATCCTGAAGCAAAGTTCTTAACCTGAAGCACTATTTCTGGGTTAGTGGAGTCTGTATCCTGAAGCGTCTGTAACCTGAAGCATATGTAACCCAAAGTACCACTGTTTACAAGGTGGCTCCTAAAAGCATGCACGTCAAGTGTCAAAAGCCTGGGCAAAGAGGGTGATGGATCTACTCTGAGTAGGACTAACTTTGGACACAACCTTGTATCTATACAGAATGTTTCTCAAACATCTTTTTTCCTTCTTCCTAATGCTGACATCTGTATGCATTTTCTGTAGGTCTGGTATATGGACAGCTATCACAACAATCGCTTTGTCCGGGAGTACAAATCCATGTCCGATTTCATTAACACTGACAACTTCACCTCCCACCGCCTCCCTCACCCATGGTCTGGGACAGGACAAGTGGTCTATAACGGCTCCATCTTTTTCAACAAATACCAAAGCCACATCATAATCAAATTTGACTTGAAAACGGAGACCATCCTTAAGACTCGTAGCCTGGACTATGCCGGCTATAACAATGTCTACCACTATGCCTGGGGTGGCCACTCGGACATTGACCTCATGGTGGATGAGAATGGCCTGTGGGCCGTCTATGCCACCAACCAGAATGCGGGGAACATTGTCATCAGCAAGCTGGACCCCAACACTTTGCAGAGCATCCAGACTTGGAACACCAGTTACCCCAAACGCAGCGCTGGAGAAGGGTTCATCATTTGTGGCACATTATACGTCACCAATGGTTACTCGGGGGGTACGAAAGTGACCTACGCCTATCAGACCAACACCTCCACTTACGAATACATCGATATCCCCTTCCTAAACAAATACTCCCACATTTCCATGTTGGACTACAACCCCAAGGACAGAGCTCTCTATGCGTGGAACAACGGTCATCAAATCCTTTACAACGTCACCCTCTTCCACGTGGTCCGATCAGACGAATTGTAGTCCACTTTTTTTCGTCGGGAAAGGAATTGAACCATTTAACAAAAAACAAACAAACCTGGAAGGGATACATACTATGGAAATATATTTTAAAAGAAAAAATAGATATAATGAAAAAGGAAAACAGCTGCCAAAATGTCAATGTGGGAGTCTCCGGTATTTAAACCTGCAAGAGATCTGCGCTCATACCTCTCCGAATTTTCAATCAAACATCTAACTCGTGTTATAGACCTTTGGGAGGGGGGGAATGAAACCAACTTATTTGCAGCTGGAACTGCACTTGACAAATTAATTTTCTGTTCTTGGGTGTCTTATTTTTCAAGGGCAGGTGGTCTGTCTGTTCTCTTTCCCTACTGTTCTGATAGCAAAGTTGTAGTTATAAAGTACAAAGTAAAAGGCGATGACTGTTGGGGGGAAAACTTTATCATGGGGATGTGGGGGGGGGAAGGGGGGGACACCTGATTCTTCAATTGCTCTCTTATTTTTTGGTGCATTGCATGGACAATTCCTTCCATCACAGTCAGCTATGATGAGGTGTTGAAGTTGACTCACATCAATGGGCTTCTCAATTTTAATTTTTTTATTTTACTTTTAGAAGGAATGTTGCAGGTAGATATTGTCTCCCATGGCGCCTACTCGCGAGTATTTCACTCTCTGCTTCTTCTTCTTTTTTAAAACAAACAAACAAACAAACATCTCCCCCCTCTGTGTTTTATGTCACCTTTAGATTCATTGTCCTGGGACCCAAAGTAGCTAATGGATCTGTGTCTCTTTAAGTAGATATAAATACACGAATAAAAAAAAATGAAAAAAAATATAAAAAGGTATGTATTATGGACAAGTTGTTGTACCCAAATATTTGTTTGAACATGTATCCAGCCAATATCTTGTACAATGTTATGTCTGTTATTAACCAGAGGTGGTAAAAAAACAAAAACTTTGTATGTCCAAGTTTATGCAATGAATGTTGTAAATGCCAATGATGTCATTTGGATTAATAAATGAAGGTTTCATATCTTAAAAAGTGATTTAAGGTGTGGTGTTTAAATTCATAGCACCATAGAACTGTAGAGTCAGGGTTGTATGGGGTGTATGTTAGAAGAGGGACAGTACCTCTGATGGGGGACACATCTTGCTTCTAGGGTACTTCATACACCTTTGTTCCCCACTCTTACCTGTGTCTACTAGAAGCTGTCTGCAAGTGACAGTGGCCACATCCCAGGAAATGGCTTTGGCTGGCTGGCTAAAACAGCTGAAGGTGGGTCTCAAAACCTCAGTGAGTTAGGGATTTCGCCTGCATATGAAGATAAGGCTCTGGTAGACTGAGCGGATGAGACCACTAGTGGGCCAATGGTCAAGAAGGCGGTTTCTGCAGCTGGGGCTTGTCAATCTGAGAAGGTAGCCCTTCTTGGAGAAGGAAAACTCTGTTCCTAAACCTTTATTGCCTTGTGGGATACATTTGGGAAAAGAAAAGGCTTATGGAGCAAACCTACACAAATCTAGAATGGGTCCCTAAGGCGGTTGGGTGACGCCTTGTACGTCTCCTTTGGGAAACTCCACCAGCCAAGTTGGTGCCAAATGCATTGCTCTAGTTTTCTTTGGACTACATCAGCAAGGCCAAGAGGGGTGTCGTGTTATCTGGGCACCCCAGGACTTCCATACACACTGCACTGCTAACCCAGCAGTTTGACTTCACCCCCAAAGGCACACTCCATTGTCTCTCAAGACAGATAAATGCCCACAACTGTTAGAAGGGATCCCAGAGGTCATCCAGTTCAACCCCCTGCCATGCAGGAAACACAACAAGCCTGGGTGAGGGTGGGGGGAGGCCCTCACACAGGCTATACAAACCTTATTAGTTTGCTTCAAACAGTTCACACTTTTGGTGTAATGTGAACCATGGGTTAAATTACACAGTGCTTGGGCTCATGTCTTGAGGAGTTTTGAGATGAGGGTGTCAGGTGCACTGGGTTACCATAGCAACACCAGCCAGGTCAACTGCGTTCCTTTCTGAGCCATTCACCCTCCCATTGGTCCAGGCCGTATGCCTATGTGTAGAGACGGATATCATAGTCTCCAGGGCATTGCTTTCATTATGTCTAGTCCTGTTGCATGTTCGTGTCCTGCCCTGTTTTGCTGGCAGGGTCTGACTCTGAATCTGTGAGAGTCAGGGGAAGAGACTGTGCATTTTTCATAGTTAGCTAGCATGATGATAATGTTAGTGGATCTCTCCGTACATATGTATCTTTACCTCAAAGGCCATAAGGATTGCACATAGTAGATAGCAGTGTTTAGCTTTATCTTGCATCTGGAGACAATAAACACTTGGTTACTTTGAACTGTGTGGGAGCGGAGTTTTCCTCTTAATTGGGGACTCTGGAAGAAGATGTTCTGCTGGGAGCAAGAAATCTCTGAAGACTCTGCTGGGGCTCCACATACTCTGCTGATAACATCACACTCGTTGGGGTGTGGTGAATGACCAACTGACTTCCACAAGTCCCAACACACACAACCTAAGAGATGGCTGATGAACATCATTGGCTTTGCAGAGCCTTCGTGCCTCACCTTCAATGCTGCCCCAAACTATGGGAGCTCTTCAAACAGCCAAAGCATACCATCCGTTCCCTGTGGCCCCTCTGGTGTGCAAGTTAACTGAATTTGGTAGCTGTTGGGAGCATCCACAGCATATTACTTTTCAGAAAAGCAGAGGTTTGTTCCACTGGGAGAGCTGACAGATCTTTAATTACCAGCAGTCATTACTGCATTATCATAATGAGAGTACACACAGAATTCCCTTTCAGTCTGCCAGCTGTTCTCTTGACTTGGAAACATTTCAGCCCTCTGGCATCTGCTGCTTGACTTCAAATCATTCTTTCTAGGTGGCCTGAAAAACCACAGTCAGTTGTATGAAACTAAGTGCATGGCACTGGACGATCAGCAACGATTGTGGCAAGACTGTGTAACTGCCTGTCACCAGGCTCTCCAGTCGTGCCATGCATCTGATGTCAATCAAGGATCAAGATAAATTTGTGAGGTTTGGGAGAGTCACAATTTGCAAGTGGGATCCTGAAATTTCTACCTGGCTCACCTTTTAGATTTGTATTTTATTTGTATCTAGTTGTCATAGAATCATAGAGTTGGGAGGGACCCTAAGGATCATCTAGTCCAACCCTCTGCAATGCAGGAATACTGCCCACAGCCATCCCTGGGTGGGCTTGAACAACCAGCCTTCTGATTAACAGTCAGATGCCCTGACCTATTAAGAGAAGTTAACCCAGACCCAGGTCAACTGCAGAATGAACAAATTTTGTTTGATTTATTCCACTTATATCCCACCTTCCCCCCCCCAAGGAGTTCAAAGTGGTGTGCATGGTTCTCTCCCTCCGCATTTAATCCCCACAACAACCCTGTGAGGTAGGTCAGGCTGAGAGGCAGGGCAAGTGGGGATTCGAATCCTGGTCCCCTAGGTGCTAGTCCACCACTCTAAACAGTATACCACCCTGGCTCAATGTTAAGTTTCCCTGGCAAATCACAAGATGCCCCTTTAAAAAGGAAAGACTCATTTAACAATTACTGAAATGGAATAAAATGAATGTATACAAATCTGAAGAAAATCTCTCAAAACCTAAAAGCATAAAACAAGAGCTAGACACTCCCTAGGAACGTGTAGCATCCCCTCCTACGAGTCCTCCCATCAGTTGCTGAAGATGAAAAATGTGCTGTTTTTACTGTTGGATATTTCTCATGTGTACCCAAATGAAAGATTCATAGCCTGACGTCTTCTCATATCTCCTTAAACTTTGTCCCAAGTATTGTTTTCTCGGTGCATTATATACTAGACAACAACTGATGCTGTGAGTATCAGGGGTCAGTCTGGGAAATGCCCTGAGTCCCTTCCAGTTCTTGGGATCCTGACCCAGTGAGGATTAGAATTTAATAGAGGATTGTATTGCTGAGATAGTCAGGCAAGCTTCTTTGTAGGACAATGCCCTTAGCTGGCCACTTGAGTATCCTCATCAGCATCCCCAAAGAATGGCCCAGGTCACAAAATCCACAACTAAGTGATGGGGCCCTCCAGGTTAAGGGGTGGTGGGCCTTTCCTCCACCGCTCCTCACTTAGCTCCTAGGAGAAATCAAGAGCCTGAGTGGCGTGTGAGAGTTGATCTGCAAGCAGCCTGGAAGCTGGAGACACACAGAGACCTGCTGTTCTGCGCTGCATCCAAAGCTGCGACTAATGAAGAAGCAAGATCTGTTCAGGGTGTTAATGCTGTTAACCCCTGAGGCTTATGCTCAGGTTGTATAAAGGTAAAGGGACCCCTGACCATTAGGTCCAGTCATGACCAACTCTGGGGTTGAGGCGCTCATCTCGTTTTATTGGCCGAGGGAGCCGGTGTACAGCTTCTGGATTATGTGGCCAGCATGACTAAGCCACTTCTGGCGAACCAGAGCAGCGCACGGAAACGCCGTTTACCTTCCTGCTGGAGTGGTACCTATTTATCTACTTGCACTTGGACGTGCTTTCGAACTGCTAGGTGGCCAGGAGCAGGGAGTGAGCAACAAGAGCTCACCCTGTCACGTGGATTCGAACCGCCGATCTTCTGATCAGCAAGTCCTAGGCTCTGTGGTTTAACCCACAGCGCCACCCGCGTCCCTAGCGCCACCTGTGTCCCTTCAGGTTGCATAGATTTGTAAATAAAACCATATATCCTAATGACACCACAGCCTCCCAAACCAACATTATGTACAAAATCTTCAGCCCAGTTTAAACCACAAGCACCGTCATGTTCTTGGCCTATTGACTAGGATCAGGAAAGTGGCTGATGTCTATCCACAGTTCAAAAGTGTCGTCATTTTAAGAGATCAAAAGGCACGAGGACTAGAATTTTATTTCCTCTTTTTGAGAGGATAGGCCATAGCTCAGTGGGTAGGGAATCTGCTCTACTTGCAGAAGGTCCCAGGTTGAAGCCTGAAAGGTTCAGGCACAGCTGGGAAAGTCTCCTCCAGGACTAAACCTTTTTAGGATTGCAAAACATCACTGAGCTGTGATAGAAAGGATCCTTGTTGTCCTTTAGCTGGCGTGCTCTGGTCCATGGGGTCACGAAGAGTTGGACACAACTAAACGACTAAACAACAACAACGTTTGGGAAGTCTATATTTAAGGAAATGACTTTTTATTGTTTTTTATCCGTAATTTTAATAGATTTGCTTTTGTATTGTTTTAACCTCATTAGTTTTTAAATAATTGTCTTTTCTATGATTGTAGCTTCTTTTCCTATTTTATCTGTGTTTTGCATTTTTATTTCTAAGCCACCTTGAGTCCCAGTCCGGGGAAAATGAGGCTTGTAAATAAGAAAAAGAATAATAATGTATAATGAACACACTAAGTTTAAATAAACTTCATGATGTGGAAGCAGCAGAAGTTTCGCTGCACACAGACACAGACTCAGACTGATGTCTTCATTTCGATGGGAGAGGCTGGTGGCTAGTGACTCTTCAGGAGAACACTGGGTTGGATTGACCAGTTGCTGACTCTCAATATTATGCAGTTTCCTGTGTTTCTTTGGAACCCCATACCCATCACCCTCCTTGGGTGACAAGGAGGAGCAGATCTTAAGTCATGTATAAATACAAATACCATCTCCAGCCTTGCCATGAACCAGCTTCACTAAGTCTCTCCCTTTTGCTTGAAATGGTCCTCAGCTCTCCACAGGGAGAGAGAGACAGATTCATCCTGGGCAAAGCGGGATTTGGATTCCAGGGCCATATGGTCCTCCTGCAGCAGGAGGAATTGAAAAGGAAATTGCTCTCTTTTCAGATAATCAGCTGAGGAGGGTGGGGGGAGAAATGACAAGAAGGCCATCTACTTAATGCACGCGTTCTCGAGACTGATTGACGTGTTGTAACAACATAAGCCTTCCACCGAGCGATAGAGAATCCCCTAGCTGCTAGAGTTAAAGACTGGATTGCTAGCTCTGCTCTGAATGACACACAAACGCGCACACACAGAGGATTAGATTCCTTCAGCTGGAGACAAAATCAATAAGGTGATTATGACCTTGTTTTTCTTGCTACAGTTGGGAGATATCCATGGAGCTGGGGCTTCCAAAGACGGGAAGGGGGAAGAAGTCGCTAGGCAAATTGCAGGTCTGAGGCTGCATAAGCCTATTTTTTTTAGCATGCTGTAGCAGATGGTAGATAGAATAATAGAATAGTAGCGTTGTAAGGGGGCCCCCGAGTGTCAACTAGTCCAATGCAATGCAGGAATCATGGCCCTCCTGGCAGGGCAGCCCTCCAACTTCTGCTTGAAAACATCCAATGAAGGGGAGTCCACCACCTGGCCAGCGAGTCTGTTCCACTGTTGAATGGTTCCTACTGTCAGAAAGATATTCCTAAGATTCAGCTGGAATCTCCTTTCTTGCAATTTGACTCCATTGGTTCAAAACCTGCCTTCTAGAGCAGCAGAAGGCAAGCTTGCTCCATCTTCCACGTCAGCCCTTTAGATAGTTGAAGGTGGAGCCCTTCCAATATTCTGGAAGGAAGACAGTTAAATTTGGCCCTGCAGAAGCCACAACAATACTTAGGGAAAGTCAGATCATGGCATAGGAACATAGGAAGGGTTCTTATACTGAGTCAGATCCTTGGTCCATCTAGCTCAGTATATTGGTGGACTCATAAAAAAGCTAAGAAATATTGGATTCAAATATATACATGAGGTCCAACTCCAAGGGCCTTCTGGCGGTTCCCTCACTGCAAGAATTGAAGTTACAGGGAACCAGGTAGAGGGCCTTCTCAGTGGTGGCACCCAACTTGTGGAACACCCTCCTGTCAGATGTCAAAGAAATAAACAATTACATGATTTTCCAAAGGCATCTGAAGACAGCCCTGTATCAGGAAGTTTTTAATGTTTGCGGTCTCACTGTGTTTCTATATTATGTTGGAACCTGCCCAGAGTGGCTGAGGAAACCCAGTCACATGCTGAGGTATAAATATTATTATTATCTTCTTCTTTTTCTTCATCTTCTTCATCATCATTACTACCACTACTACTACATTGATGCAGAATATTTTAAAGTGTAACATTAAAATGAAGCTTGCTAGGAATAATGAATATAAAATTGAACAATATTTCAATACATGATCACAGTGGTGAAACTTTTATATGTACGAAAATGGAAAGATTCATCATTACCTATGATGGAGGAACAGTTATTGAAATCATAGGACTTAGCTGAGATTATGTGCTTTATCACAGAAAAATAATTGTCAATATTTACTAAATATTGGAAACGCGTGCAAAATTTTTGCATGAAAAAGAAAACAAGCTTAAATCTGGGTTTTAGGATCAAAATATTGTCTTATAAAAAGAGGAATTGTTGGGTGTTATCTTGGAGTGGATGTTCTGAATAATTTTTTTGTATATAGATGAGAGATGAAGAAACGTAAGGTCGCCTCCTCTCCCCCCCCTTTTCTTTTCATTTTTCTCTTTCTTCCTTCTCCCCCCGCCCTTTTCCTTCTTTTGGTTTAGATTAATTAATCTTTGATTAAAAGCTATTGAATATTCGCTAAGAACCACTGTAGATCTCCTTTTTGATTTTTCATAATAATAATAAAATTATTGGAAAATAAGAAAAGTATTGTCTACAATCACTGGCAGCAATGGCTGTCTGGGGTTTCAGGCAGGATTTCCTCCCAGGGCCTGCTTGCTGGCGCTGGGGATTGAACTTGGAACCTTCTCCTTGTAAGACAGATGCTGCAATGCTGAGCTACTGCCTTTCCCTACAAGGACTGACAGGACCACACAGAGGCCTTTTCCTCCAGGGCACAGTGGTGTTGAGCTTCCGTGGACACCCTATGTGGCAACTTCCCACCTAAAGGTAGGCTGGTCCCTGTTGCAGCATCAGGGAGAGCAGCACAGAGTGGCTGCAGAAAGTGACCCACTTTCCAAACCAGCTGGATGCTGATGGGGCAATCCAACAGCAGTCAAGATCTCCATGGCAACAGCCTTTAATTGCTTCCCAATGCAGATTTTTTGGGATCATTGGTAAAGAGGTGTGGGGATTTTATATATTTATTTATCCAGATAAATATCCGTGTGTTGCTTCTCGGGTTGTGGGGGGGGTATCAAAGTGGATCAGTAAAACGCACACACATAGCCTCACCACAGCCCAACCTACTTGGTGTGTGGGTGTGGGTGCAGAGAGTGAGGAAGGAAGGAAGGGGAAAGCTGCAAACTCTGGTCCCAAAGCACCCACTCCGTGCCTCTATCTGACAGATGTGGAA